GGTGAGATTCCTCTCAGTTTAACCTTATTATTTAGCCAAACAACAGGTTGAGGTGATGGCAGTGTGACCCTCCTGGGAGGTGTGGTATTACAGCATGAGAAAACCCTGAATTGGGGTCGCTGAGCATCAAGTTCAGTGTGAGCTGCTTTGCTGTTTCTCTTTCTCCTCCACCACTCTGACTTTATTTATCTTGCATGAGTGCTTCTCCCAAGGGGAAGAGTGCAGGCATATTTTTGCTGTGTGTGAGAGTACCACGTGTGCAAACTTGTACGCGTCAATGTGGATGTGAGAGTATTTATAGTGAGATGTACTGTTGTGTTACGTTTTTTTGGGGGGGAGCGCACTATAGTAGCCTACCGTTGACATTATTTGTGCTTAGAGGCTGGAGGGGTGATGGACTATGGATGAGGTTGTCTCTGAGCTCTGAATCACAAAGCTCATATGGAAGTGAACAAACTGAATCCATCCTCCCTATGAAATGTTAACCTCTACTTACATTAGCCCTGTTCTAGCTGCTCTGTTCCACCATAGCTTGGCTAGAACATAGCCTTCTCCAGTCAGATTTAGTCAGGCTTAGTCTCTCTCTGAGGGGGCTAGATGTCAGCTCCTCTGCTCTCCAATCCATGGCAGCGTCACCCTCCACCACAGAATCGATTTGTTACAGTGAGTGAACAGAAACACACAAGCTGTCGGCCTGGTTTCTTTAGCCAATTGTTTTAGAGAGAGTAGTACCATTCCCTATGGCCAATGCATTGACTCATATACATAAATCCATATTGGATATAGTGGTATTTGTTTATCAGATCAGTGCGCGTTTGGCGGTCCTCAGGCTGAAGCAAGGCTAGCTAAGGACAGTATATAAATAGCCATCTGTACCCTGCAGCAGAGATGGGCTTTCTCTGTGTCTTTTAAAAGGTACTGATGCCTGCTTTCTACCTCCACCCACTTGATCCATTCAGGATACATAATGGCTCTGTTGCTTTGTAAAATCCCCCACTAACAGATGGTGTGCTTCAGTCTATCTTAATACACCTGTTATTACGCGTTACAATTCACAACAATTCATTACTGTGTGTGTGTTTGTGTGTGTAGAGGATGCCGACATCTGGATGCTGGACGGTGATGATGCCATCTCCCAGACCCAGGACTCCCTGAACCCCGCCTCCCGTCCTGACCACCTGGACATCCTCAGGATCACGCCCCCAGAGGATGACATCATCGGAGATACCCCCTACTACCCTGGACTGGAGTGCACGGTGAGAGCTGCTGCACCCACACAGTGCACTAATAGCAATACATCATACTTAGAAAAAAAAAGAAACTGGCCAAATTGTAACTAGGGCCTAGAGTATTCCCTGGTCTGGTCACATGGTCAGGAACAACTCTGTTCAGGTCACATAGTCAGGAACAAATCTGGGCCCTAATTGATACTCTATGAAGGCTACTACACATTAGCAGTAGTTATCCTTCATTATGCATCTGCTCTCAGAGCAGTGTAGCATGACATTGTTGTTCCCTCAGGGCTCCAGGCCAGCGTGTACTCCACTCTACTGAAGTGCTTAACCACCTGATCATGAATTCCTCCAGTTGCATTAACATTAAGAGATCTGGGATGTGGTGCTGTGTGCCGTGGCGGTACCCAGAGCCCAGGACTTACTGTAGCCACCCTGCTAACACCTTCACATTCCACAATTTCTACACTCTTTTGAAAAAAGGGTTCTAAAAGGGTTCTTCAGCTGTTCCCTCAAGGGAACCCTTTAAAGAACCCTATTTGGTTCCAGGTAGAACCCTTTTTGGTTCCATGTCGAACCCTCTGTGGTAAGGGTTCTACATGGAACCCAAAATCGTTCTACCTGGAAACAAAAGGGTTCTACCTGGAAACAAAAAGGGTTCTTTAATGGGTTATCCTATGGGGACAGCCGAATAACTCTTTTAGGTTCTAGATAGCACATTTTTTCTAAGAGTGTAGTGCCCAGTTGTCAAGTCACTGTAAACCATATTAGAGTGGATTGATTGTGTCATGCACAGTATTTAGCTCCCTTTCTCTTAGTTTGTGTGTAGAGCTAAGAAGCTCAGCTATGTGTTTGCTACAGGCCAGGGCACCTGACTTGTGCGGGTCTGCCAAACACACAAACACACATATAAAACCCTACTGTTGGTACATTGTGTCTCTAGGTGTTTTCACTCTGTACTGAAACCAAACAAACAGACTCTTCAGAGCTTGCCAAACATCTCTACTGCTGAGAGAGAGATCCCACCAACAACAGTCTACATATTTAATCTACCCAATCACCAGCTGTTTGTCACAGGCGGGGTAGTGTTGTCATGTTTCAATGTTTTACCTAGGATGGTACATCTACTATTAACATGGTGACCCAGTATCACACTGTCATCAAATTAAACTAGATTGATTTACCAACACCTCTCACCTGCATAGCACATCTATTCTTTTGGGTAAAGTGTCAAGAGAAGGTCATATAAGTGTGTCTGTCTGTCAAGATTCCATCATGCTGTTTGACTAGTTTAAGCAACAGTAGATTGTTTTGTGTGGATGGGTGTAGTTGTGTGTCAGACAGAGTAGCATAGCATAGTGTAATCAACAGCCACTCCTCGATCTCTGTAGCAGCCAGCATATCATAACAAAAGTAATCCCTGTTGTGTTTTTCCTCTAGTGGTAGACTGTCTCAACATAAAGAGACCGACAATCTGTGGTGTGGCCTAAACTGGCATTGTAGTCATAGACTCCATTGGGGTGACTTGTTTTTCAAGTCACGTGTTACTTGATTGACAGACTGCTTTTCAATCAGTAGTGATCAGTGTGGGATTTGTAGAAGGGCCCTCTTCTAGCTCTCTGTCACTGTGACTCAGCTCCTCTCAGCCCACAGTACAGGGTGAGTCCTGCTGAGGCCTGGCTATGCGGCTAGCTGATATATTTACACTGAGTAAATTAAACACCAATGCTATTACATAATGGGTCAGGGCTCAGGGTGCCTCGCTCCAGGCTTGACAGAGAACCTCTGACTGACTATCTGTGGATTTATTTGAATCCCCAGAAGATCAGGGAATAACACTTACAACTACAGTGTTAGAGACATTATGTTTAAATACAATAGTATTTTCTAATACATTTTTGACATTTTAGTCATTTAGCAGACGCTCTTATCCAGAGCGACTAACAGTTAGTGAGTGCATACATTTTCATATTGGCCCCCCGTGGGAATCGAACCCACAACCCTGGGCGCTGCAAGCGCCATGCTCTACCAACTGAGCTACACGGGACTATAATACATTAGACATATGATTATTTAATATCTAATATATTATTAATGATTACAGAGATGTATTATTAATTTCAAACGTTTTGTCTTTGAACACTAACCTCATGTCTGATTTGGTATGGGGCTCCAAATCACCTTGACAACCATTTGTCGTTCTTAATCTTCCTGTGTCTGGAGAAATGCATTGAGGAGTGAACTTTGGCTGCTAAGGCCAAATATGGCCTTAATAGGGCTTTGAGTTCCCTCTGAAAGCTCAATGAACAAGTAGCCCTAATTTCACTAAGTACTTTTCAGGCCTATGTGCTCTGTTTTGTGCTAAACTCTGTCAAGTGCACATTGTGTTCATATAAAGGGTGCATGGTACTTGAAAGATTTTTGAACCCATTGTATTTGAAGCAGCAGGTTTTGTAGACTGCAGACAGAGTACAATGATACTTGTCTGTGTAAACTTACTATAAACTCACTGTACTGGAAAACGAATGTGTGTATATGTATGTGTTCAGTTTATGATTTAGTGTAAAGACAACCTTAATCTATTCTAATGACATTCACACTCTGAGATTAGGGAATCAAAACCAATTTTCCTCTCAGCAAACTATAGCAGTGTTAGCCCCTTGGCGTTAGCGGAGCTACTGACGACAACAGATTGCAGTGTTGGAGTGCTGGTCAGGGCTGGGCAGCAGCAGTTCCAGACTGACTAATCAGCACAGCTTAAGCTCTGTGCTGTAATAGTATAGAGAGCACTGTCAGCTGTAACACTGGGCTGGACCTCCTCCGCCGTCCACCTGACCAACCAGGAGATTAGCTATCTAACTAGCTAGCAGCCCCACCCGGTTTACACTGCAGTCAGAAATGACAGCGCTAAGCAACAGAGAGCTCCAGCTACCTGTGGCTGCCATTTTGCGGAAGTAAGATGGAGTAACCGGACACCTGTTCTGCTTGCCGCCACAGTTCCCTCCTAGGCAGGGCAGGGGAGGGTGGGGGGGGCGGGGCCAGACTGGGTAGACCAGTGAGATGCATTTTTTTCCAACCTGGAGGCTTTTCTCAGGAACACAGAGCTCTCCTGTACGCATACAGACACAGGGAAAGAGGGGAAAGAACCACGCCAGGAGGGAAACTCAGACAGTTGCTCTGAATCAGGTCTCTGTACCTACACATAAAGGGGAAGTGGAACCTACCGGACCACTCTGAAATAACTTTTCAAACTTTTCAAACTTTGTTCTGATGTTTTCCTGAGAAACTGAAAATGAGTTCCTCCTGGATTCCCAGGGAGATTATTCCAGGACATGCTTCCTGCCTCTGAACAGTTTGACTTGACCGGGAAAGTCATTGGAATTTCACTCTGCTCTACATCACTGGAAGTTCTGGAACACTGAAAAAGTTATCTGTGACATTTAACATACAGTAGAGGAGATGCTGTTTTTAATTGGAGAACGTTTTCTATATGCAGCACAGCAGGGTCTTGTGTTGCCATACAATATTACAGGATAGCAGGGGTTATACCTGGAGCCCTCCTGGAGAGGTTAAGAAGAGCTAGGGGATTTGTCCTCACAAAGGCCTTTTGTTCACTGGAACCAGTAGAAGTGGAACACGGCTTGGCAGGTTGAGAGTCCTGGAGGTGTAGAGATGAGCCTTTTGTGACACTCTGAATGGACACACTGTGCTCGGGTAGCCTCTACCTGGCTGGCTGGCTAGGAGTTCACAGGCCTAAGTACATGCTACATGACAGTTAAGGGTTCTGTGAAAATGGACAGTGTAAGTAATAGCTCTGATGGTCAGGAGAAGCAGCAATCCAGTTCGTTCCGCAATAAGATCTCCACTATGTTTACACGTGGGGACAAGCCTGAGCCTCAGAGGCTAGCGGGAGAGACTGCGGTGCTGATGGCTTTCAGAACCCTATCTGAAGATAACTATATCACAGGGGTCCATGATCAAAGTGCTCTGGATGTTATCAGTGACGACAGACTTAGAGTGGGGGGAGATGTGAGGGGTAGGGGTGAGGTTCTTCATAATGGAGAGGCCACCTTCCTTGATACGGAGGACAGGATTGAATCATGGGAGAATGAGTCCAGTAGGAAGAGTAGCTCTGTGACCTCTCCTCCTAACCCAGGCCAAGTGTCCACGGCCGACCCAGATCTGGTCCAGGTCACTATGGTGGAGATCTGCAGCGACACAGAGATGGAAGATGAGGAGGGGATCAGCAGTCTCAGCCAATCAGACAAGCATGCCACCCCTGGAATGTCCCTCCCACCTGACGATGACCAGTGGACAGTGGGCGATGATAACAAGGGTCAGCTGACACCAGCTGGCCCAGTGAGAGGTACCATTGATACAGACTTAGAGCTGCCTGTGTTAAAGCCACAAAGTATTGTGGAAAGATCCCTCAAAGACACCTCTGTTCTGTACTCTGCAAGGTTTATGGGCAGATCTCACAGCGGGACAGATCTTGGTCTCTTCTCCTCTGTCTCCAAACCACAAGTGCCTGGAGACAGCTGCAGCACGTACCTCTCCACTGATCCCAGGCCTGTGGAGGTGGGTGTGGATGCAGAAGCCATGGGTGCAGAGGGGTCCAGCCATTATCACCACAAAGTAGCCAAAGGCTTCAGCATCAGCCGGGAGTTATTGGGCCTTACTGACGTGTGTGCTGGAAACTCTGCAGTGGCTTCACCTCTTAACCTGTCTTTGACCTCTGAACCCCAGATATCAGAGGCAGCAGCAGACGACACTGCCTTGCCGTCAGGACAGCCAGAGGACCAAGATACTGGACAGTGGAAGGAGATATTGTCGGAAAACACTAGAACTGAGGAGTGTAGAGAGCATGTTCCTTGCCTCGACTCCCCTTCCACCCTCTCTGATTCCAGGCCACCTGAAGCAGCAGAGCCATCTTCCCCCAGCCTGGAGGAGCAGCCTGACACGCCTGTTCCTGGAAAGTCCCCAGTTGACAGTCAGCCAAGTGCCATTCCTGTCTCTGTCTCGCCCAGGGGCCAAGGCGACATGCCTGCCACTAGGAGGCCCGAGACAGACCCGCCATCCACCACATTGTCTCCCTCCAGGGGCACAGTTTCCTCCCAGGCCCCCTCATTCCAAATTCCTGCCCTGTTCAGCGGGCTGCGGGTTCTGAAGAAGGGGGCTGTGGGGGAGGAGAGGGAGACAGTGTCTGAGATCAAACAGAGAGACACTGACCTGGCCCTGCTGAGCCTGAAGAAGAGCATCAACAAAACCAAGAACCTCCCTGAGCAGATCACCTTCAGTAGCAGCACCCCCAAGAAACGACCCGAGCCCAAACCTGTGTCTGAGACCAAGAGTAATCTCTTGGGGCAGATCAGCCAGCTGTTCAACCTAGACGGGACCAAGGCCGAGGACAAGCCGGACCCACTGCTAGAGCTCAGAGACAGGGAGCCGGAGAAGAGGGAGGAGGGGGTGACAGACAACGGTCTAGAGGACATCCCTATCACCCCACCAGCAGACAGCAGGAAAGCTTCAGACACAGCGCTTGACACCTTCAAGAATCTCTTCAGCTCCAAACCGGCTAAAAAGGATACAGAAGAGGATGTGGATTTAGAGGCTGTCAAGAAAAAATACAAAAGTGAGAAAGAGCTGCTAAAATCCATCTTTGAGAGAACCTCCAAGTCTCCTAGCAGCAGTGAGCAAAAAGGTCCAGCAGAGTCTAAAGTATGTACTGTTTGTGTCTAACTCAAAGCTGTATTCCTTCTCTATGTTGTATTTTATAGATCACTATTCATTGTTGTTTTTTCTCTCAGATCACCAAGGTTTTGACATTTATGAATGTAAAGCTATTTGAAGTGTATGTTGTGTTTTCTTGGGCATATGCAATGCAGACAGGACAAAACCACTATGTTTGTAACTTTAAAGTGACATCTCATAGGGTATTAGCTTTGGGGATAGTCTTGATTTGAGATGGTCTCATGTCTTATCACGTGTTGACTTCTCAGTCAGATTGGCCACCGACTGTACTGTAAACCTTAGGGAGTGTGTACAGTTTCTATGTATGTTCTGTGTTAACTGAGGTATCATCTGCTGTCTTTCCTCCCAGTCTGAGGTCACCTCCCCTGCAGACAGTGAGGACCGGACCCCCGGGCGGCTCCAAGCCATCTGGCCCCCGCCCAAGCCCAAGGATGAGGAGGAGAAGGTGGGGCTCAGGTACACCGAGGCAGGTAAGGACGTGCTCCATACTGGAGCTCTCCACTTACTCTACACCGCTTCTGCAGTATCATACAATCTCCTGTTGAGAAACACCTGTATGCTGTTATCTGTCTTACAATAAGATAGACTTGATACAAATCTACTGATCATGAGTGCCTCCACCCTGTTTTATCTGGGGCAGGCGCTCTCCTTACTTACCCTGACTGGTTAATCTAATTGAGAGGTGACACAAACAAGTAGTGCAGCCCTGCTGGTATATTTACAGCCAGCTGAGCCCAGTGGCAGGGTGTAAGAAAACCCTTTAAATCCATTTAAAGCAGGAACGCACTGAAACCTTCCCTCCACAGTAATGCTGCTGTCTTTTGAGATGTCTGCTAGCATCACAGTGTATAGTGGAGCTTTGGGAGGTAGTTTGGAGATAGGCTGGGGCTGGACAGCCTGCCACTCTCTCAGCCTGGCTATGCTTTCTCTGTCTCTCTGTCTCTCTGTCTCTCTGTCTCTCTGTCTCTCTCTCTCTCTCTCTCTCTCTCTCTCTCTCTCTCTCTCTCTCTCTCTCTCTCTCTCTCTCTCTCTCTCTCTCTCTCTCTCTCTCTCTCTCTCTCTCTCTCTCTCTCTGAAGAAGAATACTCACACAAATAGGGTAAAGGCCCACATGACTCTAAATAGGCTGATCCAATTACATTACAGGGAGATGTTAATTTCTCTTAATGTGTTGGATGCAGAGACATTGTGCAGCCTAGAACCTGTTGTACTGGAGCAGAGACCGTATGTGGCAGGTATATCAGGCCATCTCACAGCTCATGGACTTTGGAAGGCTGAGCAAAGGTCCAAGCTGATAGGTGGCTAGATTAAAACAACAAAGAGCATGCTTATGTGTGTGCGCACATCCATTTACTGTAGGCACACACTCATGCTGTTCCACACAGCACACACACAGCAACACACACCATTTACCATGAGCCGTTAGCCTTCCATTAACTCTTGTGCTTTTACTCTCTCAGAATACTAGCCTTGAAACAGCATAATTATTGGTTTGTTCTCAAAGAGGATAACACAAATTGCTTGAAGACTTTAAACCACCAGACAGCATACTGTAATATCCCCTTTGCAGCAGATTGTTTATCTCTAATAGCTTTACTGCTGAGGTATCTAACTTGTTCATACTTCCAGAAGCTATTTATATGGTTCACTGCACAATTATTATTGTCAGATGTTACTATTGCCTTACAACACAGAATGATGTCCTTCATTGTTCTTCAGGCGGTCCGTCGAGACAAAGGCATGACTCTGTCGTCCCTCAGCAGCAGCCTAGCATAACATGGAGGAGGAGAGGATCATGTTTCCCTGCCATATTACTTATCCCTGCAATCACATGTTAATCTTGTGTTTGTTTCAGTATTTTACTAATTAATGTATGATGAAAGAGTGAATGGTCCCATGAATGTCCTGTAAAGTTGGTTGCTATTGAAAATGTAATCTCTTGTGTACATTGAAATTATCCTTCCAACTAATGTGACATTTGTGATGGTTTATGCTGTGTAATTGTATTTATGTATAAATATTAATGACATTATCATGTGTTCTAGCTATAGCAAGTGGATGTCTCTTTTCCCTTCCAGAGCACCAGGCTGCCCTCTTGCAGCTGAAGAGAGAATTCAAAGAGGAGGTGGAGAAATTACATGTAAGTTAACCTCCTTGTTTTAAACAGTTCACTACATATCATTCTTACTGATTTCAGTGCTGCGGTTTGTTTCAACCAAATGCAGTCGCCTCACCATGTCGGCGGGTGGCTTAGTGGTTAAGAGCGTTGTGCCAGTTACCGAAAGGTCGCTGGTTCTAATCCCCGAGCCGACTAGGTTAAAACATCTGTCGATGTGCCATTGAGCAAGGCACTTAACACTAATTGCTCCTGTAAGTCGCTCTGGATAAGAGCGTCTGCTAAATGACTAAAATGTAAAATGTAAAATGTAATGTCCTACTGTCCGCATGTAATAAGAAAGTAACTGATAGTTAATGAACCCAGGACACTGCAGTTTTCTTCAGAGACACTAGATGTCGCCAATCAACCACAGAAGCAAAGCAAACTATCGTCTATAGTGACTGGACTTTCCATGCTTGATGTCTGAGCTTGTCTCAATGGCCCATAGTTACACACCTCTCTTCATCACCATAGTAAATAGACAGCCTTGCGTTTCTATCTAAACATATTATTGGCCTTAAGTGGGTCTGGTGTCGTTTTTTTTTACTCCTTCAAATGGTCATTTCAACCAAAGCATCTCATTAATTGACTCACACTTCTGTGGCATAACACTGTTGTCAGGCACAAGGTTAAATGTGACATCCCAGTCACATTTGATATGAGGTCAGCATTGAGAGAGGAAGCTGTGATGTCATGATGTGTTCCAGATGTGAAGCTCCTGCCAGTTCCTCATATGAAATAAGATCACCATTTAGAACATGGATGCACCCAGAGATCTCATTTATTGACCTGTCTCTTTCCAACTGGAAATGTCTCCATTATTTCTTGTATGATCTAGTTTTGAGTTCACCCTATGAACTCAGCAGATTCCACTCTGTTGCTGAAGCACTATAATGCATTGTTTGTTCAACTGTGCCACCAGTGCCAAGGTGATGCAATTGAAAGCAGTATTTGAAATTGTTTCTCACAGGTCTCAGTGGAGTAGTCACATTGATTTGTTAAGAGCAGCCTGAGCTGAGTAAGAGGACAAGATCATAGAGCAGACTGTTAACCTTATTTATGGAACAATTTCTCTGAACAACAACCTTACTTGAGCAAATTGTCTCTGGAAAGTGTGTCTGAAAATTACAATTATTAAAGCAGTGCTGATTCAGCAGATATAGATGACTTCCTCTGCCTGTAGAGGTCTTCCTCTGCGTGTTACCCTGCCGTTTGTCTCTGATCCCTTGCATCAGGCCATCATATTGACACTCATAAATATGTAGTTAAACCATGAGAAAGGATAGGAACGTGCCTAATTCATTTTCCTAGCTGACCCCCATGCTAACAAGGAACGTGTCAGATACATTGCAAAATGGTTTCCTTTTCACTTTTCCTCAAGTTTGGCTGGATTGTGTTGATGTTTGAAACGTCGAATAAACATCCAGCTTATTAGCTCTTCATTATGTTGTCAGTTATTGTACTTTTCTGTTGGGGATGAAAGATCGGAATGAAAATTAGTGGGCATGATGTTAGAAATCACTTAATTTCATTTAATGAAGGTAATGATGGCCATTTTCTCTCACATGCTCTCATTGAGTCACCCAGGGGTCTTTGTGGAGCCCCACATTAGGTGATTCTGTTTCATATGGCTGAGTGGGATGTTTCTGACTGATCTCTGTACTCCTGCTCCACACAGACGGACTTTGAGATCCAGATGTTCCAGGTGCGAGGGGAGCATGCTGTGTCAGTGTCCCGACTGGAGGGAGTCATCGGCAAGATGCAGACAGACCGTCACCAGGCCTTTAGCCTGGGCCTTGAGAGGGGCGAGCTCCGTGAGGCCTGCGTGTCCACTGAGGACGACCTGACCCCCAAAACTTTCCGTAACGTCTGCATCCAGACAGACAGGGAGACCTTCCTCAGGACCCCCGAGGGCGAGGACGAGGCCAGCCGGCCCGGTCTCAACCCCAGCCAGAATGGGCCTAAGAAACTCAACCTGGACTCCATCAACCTGAGTCTGCATGGAGGAGCCTCAGGACTGCCTGGCCCACCTCCTCCTCCTCCTCCTCCCCCCTCCTCCCCTCCCTGGCCAAACAAGACTGCTTCCACCTCCTCCTCCTCCCCCGTTTCCTGGCAACATGGGACCACCTCCTCCACCCCCCCTCCCAGGTTTTGGTCCCCCACCTCCCCCTCCCCCTCCTCCTGGGTTACCTGGAGTTGGCCCTCCCCCTCCTCCCCCTCCACCTGGGTGCGGCCCACCCCCTCCCCCTGGGGGAGGCTTTGGGTTTGGGTTCGGCCAGGCAGCAGAGAAGGCCCCAAGGAAGCCTGCGTTGGAACCTGCCACTCCCATGAAGCCTCTATACTGGACCAGGATACAGATCCAGAACAATAAGTACCTACTTCTTCTATAGCCCATTCACAAGATGTATTATCACCTCTGTCTCCCACTCCTCACTGTGCCACTTCCATCAGGTATACAGACACTAATACAGTAAAACATCCGGCTGGGTTGACCACCCCTGCGCTAGTACCCTGGATGAGGACAGGCGCCCAAGTGAGATGTTTCAGCACATTTCCAGTGGCTGGGGTTTGTGCTGCTGGATTCCAGGCTCCCAGCTTTATGGCCTTGTATTTCTATGCCTGGGTTAGTAGAGGAAGTTGACTTGTGGTTCACACTCTCTGGTCCTGGCTAATGGTGGAGGGTTGAGTGGGGCACAGCGGTAACATGCCTGCTATAAAGTTTACAGTTGGACAGCATTAAACAGGACTCTTAACTGTAACAAGTTTCTGGGCTGATAGACATTATGAAGGGAAATACAGTACACTTTGAAAAAAGGCCAGGTCAATGAACAAATGTCAAAATATACACAATTTCACTATATATACAGAGCAGGCTTCATGAGGAAGCTGTAATAGGGAAGACATAGTTAACTGTGCTTTACAGGGATTACATGTCAATATAGGCACAGTCCAGTCAATTATAAATGCTGTCTACCGTGGAATCACAAAGGCTTTGTGGAGTTTGCATAGATTTACAGTGGGGAAAAAAAGTATTTAGTCAGCCACCAATTGTGCAAGTTCTCCCACTTAAAAAGATGAGAGAGGCCTGTAATTTTCATCATAGGTACACGTCAACTATGACAGACAAAATGAAAAAAAAATATCCAGAAAATCACATTGTAGGATTTTTAATGAATTTATTTGCAAATTATGGTGGAAAATAAGTATTTGGTCAATAACAAAAGTTTCTCAATACTTTGTTATATACCCTTTGTTGGCAATGACACAGGTCAAACGTTTTCTGTAAGTCTTCACAAGGTTTTCACACACTGTTGCTGGTATTTTGGCCCATTCCTCCATGCAGATCTCCTCTAGAGCAGTGATGTTTTGGGGCTGTCGCTGGGCAACACAGACTTTCAACTCCCTCCAAAGATTTTCTATGGGGTTGAGATCTGGAGACTGGCTAGGCCACTCCAGGACCTTGAAATGCTTCTTACGAAGCCACTCCTTCGTTGCCCGGGTGGTGTGTTTGGGATCATTGTCATGCTGAAAGACCCAGCCACGTTTCATCTTCAGTGCCCTTGCTGATGGAAGGAGGTTTTCACTCAAAATCTCACGATACATGGCCCCATTCATTCTTTCCTTTACACGGATCAGTCGTCCTGGTCCCTTTGCAGAAAAACAGCCCCAAAGCATGATGTTTCCACCCCATGCTTCACAGTAGGTATGGTGTTATTTGGATGCAACTCAGCATTCTTTGTCCTCCAAACACGACGAGTTGAGTTTTTACCAAAAAGTTATATTTTGGTTTCATCTGACCATATGACATTCTCCCAATCCTCGGGCTCCTGAGTGGCGCAGTGGTCTAAGGCACTGCATCGCAGAGTGCTAGCTGTGTCACTAGAGATCCTGGTTCGAATCCAGGCTCTGTCGCAGCCGGCCGCGACCGGGAGACCCATGGGCGGCGCACAATTGGCCCAGCGTCGTCCAGGGTAGGGGAGGGAATGGCCGGCAGGGATGTAGCTCAGTTGATAGAGCATGGCGTTTGCAACGCCAGGGTTGTGGGTTTGATTCCCACAGGGGGCCAGTATAAAAAAATATGTATTCACTAACTGTAAGTCGCTCTGGATAAGAGCGTCTGCTAAATGACTAAAATGTAAATGTAAATGTTCTGGATCATCCAAATGCACTCTAGCAAACTTCAGACGGGCTTGGACATGTACTGGCTTAAGCAGGAGGACACGTCTGGCACTGCAGGATTTGAGTCCCTGGCGGCGTAGTGTGTTACTGATGGTAGGCTTTGTTACTTTGGTCCCAGCTCTCTGCAGGTCATTCACTAGGTCCCCCCGTGTGGTTCTGGGATTTTTGCTCACCGTTCTTGTGATCATTTTGACCCCACGGGGTGAGATCTTGCGTTGAGCCCCAGATCAGGTATTTTATACTGATAACAAGTTCAAACAGGTGCCATTAATACAGGTAACGAGTGGAGGACAGAGGAGCCTCTTAAAGAAGAAGTTACAGGTCTGTGAGAGCCAGAAATCTTGCTTGTTTGTAGGTGACCAAATACTTATTTTCCACCATAATTTGCAAATAAATTCATTAAAAATCCTACAATGTGATTTTCTGGATTTTTTTTCCTCATTTTGTCTGTCATAGTTGACGTGTACCTATGATGAAAATTACAGGCTTCTCATCTTTTTAAGTGGGAGAACTTGCACAATTGGTGGCTGACTAAATACTTTTTTTCCCCACTGTATTTTCCCCAAATTGTTCAACTTTGATTCACTGCAGTTTTCTGGAGTCTGTCAGAACCCATTACGTGGAGTTATTTGAGTTGGTCCCTGTGAATGCAGTATGAAATTAAAGGGAAGATTTTCGGGAGTATCATTATGTTCTTGGTTACAGCCTCTTGGCTGTCCCAGACAGATACTTTCACCACCGCTGTGGGTAGCCAATAGCAAATTGGACCCAATTGGACTCACTTGACTCTAATTGAGTCTCTGTCTATGTGTTTGATTGCTGTGGTATTTCAGCTATGACCAGCTGGCCAACCTTTTAGTCTGTTTGTTGAGTTCACTTCGTCTCCACTGTTGTAAAATGTCTCCTTTCTGGTGGAATCAGCCTGGGCCGGCCAAACCCTGACCTCATGACTGGACAGTAGCGAGAGACCCATGAACACAAACACAGATAAGGCATATCTACAGTCCATACAGTATGGATACAGTGCATTAACATACACCACCGTTCAAATGTTTGGGGTCACTTAGAAATGTCCTTGTTTTCAATCGAAAAGCACTTTTTTTGTCCATCAAAATAACATCAAATTGATCAGAAATACAGTGTAGACATTGTAAATGTTGTAAATGGCTATTGTAGCTGTAAACGGCTGATTTTTAATGGAATATCTAGATAGGCGTACAGAGGCCCATTATCAGCAACCATCAGTCCTGTGTTCCAATGGCACGTTGTGTTTGCTAATCCAAGTTTATCATTTGAAAAGGCTAATATCATTAGAAAATCCTTTTGCAATTATGTTAGCGCAGCTGAAAACTGTTGTGCTGATTAAAGAAGCAATAAAACTGGCCTTCTTGAGACTACATTTTACATTTTACATTTTAGTCATTTAGCAGACGCTCTTATCCAGAGCGACTTACAAATTCCTCTTTCTATTCTGGTTAGAGCCAGTTTGCGCTGTTCTGTGAAGGGAGTAGTACACAGCATTGTACGAGATCTTCAGTTTCTTGGCAATTTCTCGCATGGAATAGCCTTCATTTCTCAGAACAAGAATAGACTGACGAGTTTCAGAAGAAAGTTATTTGTTTCTGGCCATTTTGAGCCTGTAATCGAACCCACAATTGCTGATGCTCCAGATACTCAACTAGTCTCAAGAAGGCCAGTTGTATTGCTTCTTTAATCAGCACAACAGTTTTCAGCTGTGCTAACATAATTGCAAAAGGGTTTTCTAATGATCAATTAGCCTTTTAGAATGATAAACTTGGATTAGCAAACACAACGTGCCATTGGAACACAGGACTGATGGTTGCTGATAATGGGCCTCTGTACGCCTATGTAGATATTCCATTAAAAATCAGCCGTTTACAGCTACAATAGCCATTTACAACATTAACAATGTCTACACTGTATTTCTGATCAATTTGATGTTATTTGAATGGACAAAAAAAATGCTTTTCTTTCAAAAACAAGGACATTTCTAAGTGACCCCAAACCTTTGAAGCAGTGTAAGAAAGTGGCAAACAGTAGGCCTATTACATTTTACAAAGGGATCCTTTATAGAAAGTTCTAAATCATGCAACATTACATATTGCTGTCAGTAGATAAACTCTCATTGAAAAGTTAACATGACCTGTGTTATACATACAGTAAGGCTGCCTCACATGGGTGGGTCCTGATGAACCTGTCTCAGTGAACCTGCTGCCTGTGAGGCTGCCTGACCTGGCCTATATACAGGCTGAGTTATGGTGGACTTCATCTTCCTCTCCCTGCGTTATCAGAGACTAGAGGGCTGCATCACTTATCATCCAGAGCCTGAGGCTGCCACACTGTCTAACCCAGGGGATAGTTATCTTCTATGATTTAAAAGAGGAATGGAAAGTAAAGGTAGCAGAGCAGGGCTGAACTCTGGGAGGCTCCTGTACAGAGAGAGACATCATCAGACTCCCTCTCTGTTTGCTTTCAGCGTTACCCAGCAACAGCGGAAACAGAATACCTCCTATCTTCCTTGTAGTTTATTTGAAATGCTCCTTTAGTGCTGAAATCTCATATCTCAAACCCAGTGACACTTGAGTCATTTGATTTTCAGAAGCCTCAGTCATAAATGTAATTTTTTATTAAAAAGCGGAAATTCAAGTCGGTTTTCTCTGCATTCTGCAAATTCTCACCCCAGCAAACGTCTGCCCTAAATCAAAAGATGGAAGTAAACACTGCACAGCCCAAGTAAACATCAAATAAACCGCTTCACAAATTGTTTATCTCTGGCACAGGACAATTTGTACTGAGAAGTCCACTAGCTATTCCACTTTTACCAAGAAGTCACCCCTGTAACACAGTCTCCTGTCATCACAGTAACACCGTTATTAAAAAGGGTTTTATGTTGAATTGTGGTGCTCCTCAGCATATGGACGTGTATCTCTCCCCCAGTCCCAGACTAAAAGTATGTCTCTTGTTTTTTTTACGGGGTAGATCAGCTTTAATATTGCAGATAGATTGTAACTTCCATCAATGTAATTGTCTGCATCACTTCCAATCCCCCATATGTTTTTTTTCTCTCGCAAATATATATATATATATATATATATATATATATATATATATATATATATATATATATATATATATATATATACACACACACACACATACATACATACATAC